GTGTGGAGAGCATAAAAGAAAAAGGAAGAAGGTAGGGAATCTTGTGTTCTTCCTACACCTCTTCAATATGATACTCCTTGTGCTTCTCACATGAGATGGAAGCCCATATTCTATCAATTCCTTTCACTCCTTTCTTTCTTCCTTTTATTTTTTTTTTCTTCCTTGTTTCATATTGAAATACATGTAAGGAGACAACCATCTACAGCCTTGTTCATGAAACTTGGCTGATTTTGGTTCCTTACAACCTACTAGCCTATGTGTGGGGAAAAACCATCTACAACCTTGCTCTTGAAATTTGGCTGATTATGGTTCCTCACAGCATGATAATGCACACAACCATAATTTAAAGGCCATTTGTAGCCTTGTTGATGAAACATGCTTTTTATGATACCTATTTACTTGTTATGCATACAATGTTTGTTTCTTTATATGTTGGTTTTCTCTCAAATAAAGAGGGAATATATAACAGAATTTTCATACTTAGTTTAGTCTCTATTCATTGGTACTTCTGAATCAGAATCAAAAGGTTTTCTTTGCTCCTAGCAGAGATGTAATTAAGGGAATATCTACATGATTTCCCGAATGGGGATTACTCAAATAACAAAAAACCCAGTTATTAGTCTAATTGGGTGAATTATGTTATGTGAGAAATTATACTAAAAAAAATTTTCCACTAACATTGCCCCATCTTTTGTTTCTTTCATTTAGATATCCATGTTAACATAAAAATAGTGGCTTTGGCTCTTTCTTTTCTTTTTTTTTTTTCTAGGGGTGACAAATGGTGGGTTGGGTGCAGGTTGAGTACCAACCCACCCATTTTGATTCTCTACCCATTTGCTACCCTTATTTGTTAATGTTAGTGGGTCACAATCCACCCTGACCCTGACCTACCCTAACCCACCCATATTGACTTGCTAACCCACACAAGTTCCTAACTCACACGGGTCATTTTTTATATATTTTTTCTCAATTTCAAATGCAATAATTGGAAAAATTAAAAAAGAAAATGCAAAACTGATATTGCTAGAAAAATAAAAAAATATATATTTCAGTAAACAAAAGCAGAAATTGCAGAAAAATATATAAATTGATAGAAAATTGAAAATAATATATATTTGAGCTAAATAAAAGCATAAATTGGAGAAAATACAGAAAATGATAAGAATTTTTTTTTTCAGAAAAAAGAATTGCAGAAAATTACATAAGTTGATAAGAACGATCTATTTCAAGAAAAAACAAAAACTGTGGAAATGCGGAAAAAATTGATAAAGATCTTGACGAAATTAAGAGAGCCTCTGTTTTCTGAGAAATAGGGAGCTCAGAATGGCAAATGAACCTGGATTAATCCCGTCAGTGTTGGGAGATGTAATGGGTGCTATGACAGTAAGGCCTTTGACTATAACATTGCTTCATTTTTTTTTTGATAAAAAAAGTGAAGGTTAATTAGGATTGGAATTTGGAGGAAACCTTGAACTTGCTATATATGGGATGAACGTTCCTTGGGGAGAAGAACATGACAGAGGGTTACTCCACACCGGTGACTAAGTGGAAGAAAGAGATTGTAGTGGAGAAGAAGAGGTTTCTGTTTGAAGAAACGGGAGGAA